ACAATGGTACCTGAAGATCATGATGAGCATTTAGAGAACACCGGAACAACAACCACAAAGTACTTGCTCAAATCTAACAATCTAAACAAACACAAAATCTATTGAAACAGAAGACTGAACGATAAGGAAAATCGCGACGAGGGTGTTGGCTTCGTTGTCAGAGCAACTCGGAGGATGGCACAGGGTTTTAGGACAAGCAGCCGCAAACAGAATGCGATCTCAAAGACAACTCTTACAACTATCCAATCGACCATTTATACTTGTATGTATCTATATGTAACCAATGCATGTAATAATTTTTGTTATGAACCGCAATAGCGAATATTAATTTGTAAAACAAGTGCAAATCATGTGTAAAGCGAAGCAATCTAAGAATGTCAAGCAGCTATAGAGCAACTGTAACACGGCCACAGAAAACAAAATCAGAAACAGTGTCGGGGTCTGCAAGAGATTCGAAATCCGCGACCTCAAAAATGTAATCAGACCTGTTTTTATGTGGCTGTGCATTTAATTTAAGTCTAGTACGTACCAACACAACAAACAACACCAACAACAAATGTGATAAAAGTGTCATGCTGCTTCCAAGAATAACAGCCTGTGCAAATGCCACCCAAAAAGTGCACGATCGAAGCAATAAGAACAGTAGTAAGCATTGGAAACGCAGGGCCTGATAAATGGGAGATATTCTGCATATGAGCTCTATTTCATAGTCATTCGACACCTGAGTTTAAGTCTTAAAGTCTTAATTTTTTTCTTATAAAACCGACATGTATTTTTCACTCCTGAAAAAAATCATCAATACATAAAAAATCATAAAAATAAAGTGTCGTTTAGCTAAGGAATTGGGTTTATATTCAGCCTTTATCAATCATTAAAGAACGTTAATCAATGGATTCATTCAATTACAATCAACGTAAATGAAAAAAAGTATTATGTTTTTCTGTTATACTAGAAGTCACTTCCAACGCTGCTGCATATGAGTAACGTTCTTTTTGTATACTTACTAAAAAAAAAATATATATTTTATATGCCATTTATTGTATTTAAATTCGAAGAGACCGAAACCAATTTTGTAAACCATTCCACAAACACAACAAACCAATGCGATTTATGCTAACGTATGTACTGATTCAGTAGCAACACTTGCAGAAAGGGAGACAACAACCAAGTTTAAGATAAGTGTTGATCGAGAACAACAACAAGAAGCCAGCGTGTTAATATATGTATGTAGAGTATAGCCCGATGTCGATATTCAGGGGAACAACAAGTGTGACATTGGCGAGGAGGGAAAGAAAACTAAAAACGATAAGATACAGCCGTGCATTAACAACAATGTTTATATATGTATATGCAAGTTATGCTTAAAAGTTAAAAGAGCAAAAGTGAAGAAAGCTGTGATATAACAAAATCCAACAAAAAGGCAAACAACAACCGACAACACACAAAGATAACACCGACACATTCAACTACAAACCGACAAGCCAATTCGAAACGTGTGCGACCAACAAAAGAATGTTAACAACCTTTCCAATACTAAAAACCAGAAGAAGGGCCATCGGAAATGGCCAATGGTAAGAATTAAAAGCGAATTGTAGAAGATCGAACCAGATCCAGTAATAGTTAGCTAGGCGGGATTACGAAGGATGAAGCGGGGAACCAAAGCTTTGAACCGAAGTGTTTAAGTATGCGGAATATATCATTTGTATTCCAATCAGGAAGAAAACTGAAGAGAGAAATCAAATGTTAAATTATATATCGATAAGTAACAAAACACACACATAAAAAATGCACATAGCTTTAACAATCTGAAAGCAAATATTTTATTTAAAGTCAATTTCCATTTGATTTGCCATATTTATGATTTGTGCAAGATTTTAAAGCTTAAATATAAAACAAAACAAAACAAAGGCCAACGACAGTTTGTGTGGCATATGCAATATCATTAAAATGTAAGACAACCAAGAAATATAAACCAATTAAAGTGTAGAAAAAAAATGCATTCAATTGAAAACCCAATAAAAACGTTTGAAACTTAAAAAAAAATTCTATTTTAAATCGTTTAGAAGAGGGCGTACATTTTTTATTGAACATAATCCTTGTCAGGCATTCAATGCTTTATTTTTGTTGCATACTTCTCGGACGGTGTTACACAATAGGCCAATGAAAGACCGAAGGGAGCCGATTAAAAGTACATAATTTAAAATAATAAAAACGTAATGTCAACAAAAACAGAGCACCCACACCAGCAAGGACTTCCGCTGAGCAACGCAAGCGCTCCAGGATGTCGGGAGCTTTTCTCAGTCCTTGAACTTTTGACCTTGTTTCTGTTCGGTTTTATCTCGCAGCCGCGGTTATGTAAGCAGCTGCACGTAGTGTTATGCAACCTGTCCACGGATTCTGGGCGCGTGCCACCGCAACACCAGCGAGTCAGTGACTCTCAATCTGCAGCGGACCCACCAAGCGATAAGGCCCAATTAAGTGGGCTTTGCAGAGGAGATAGCGCTGCTGAATGAATGACTGGACGGTACGATCGAGTTCATTATCTAGACTTATCTGGCCTACGACAGACAACCGGCAAAAGGCGTCAGCGGCCCTTTTTTTTCGCGAAATGTGATATATGGTTACGGCAACCATATAAAATGATCAACAGCGCACTGATTACGCAGTTGCAGTTGTGACTCCTCCAATGCCAGTAAAACTGTTCCCAAAAATTCTATTTTAAATGTTTCGTTTATTGATTGGGCCGTCTTTTGCTCAGGCTCAACTCGATTATTAAAACATAGCGGTGGCATAGCGTAAGCGTATGAGTACACGCAAATAATTATCCAAAGGCTACACCGAAAAAAATGACTACCTAATAAATATTTATATAATTTATTTACTCATCATTAAAGAAATAAATCTAAGTCTTATATGAAATGTATTATATGAAACAGACTAAAATATTAAATACATTTTTATATACATTTTTTATATACATTTTTTATTTAAACTAAGCTCAAGCTAAAATGTGACGGAAGAGATACAAAACATATGGTAACCAATTACTACTTTGCTGCTTAAAAACAACTTATTAAATCCTTTGCTTTTTAGCATAAAATAAATAAGAGCATGCCTAAATATTTAAATATCATATTTTCAGACATCTTCATTTCAAGAAGATTTTTTAAAAATCTATAAAATGATTTTAAATTTGGCTTAGGAACTTGGATCATACATCCATTTCCCACCTTAGGATATTATCTGCTGGTTTTTCTTCGGGTGTATAACCCGGGGTTGGGGGGGGAGCGAATCTCGCGAGAAAAGCTTCGTCGCAAGTGCAGCTAGGAAACATCGGCGTCGGCGCTCTCTTTGGGACTCTCTCATTCGGGGGCCGTCGTAGCTGTAGTCTCGTCGCTTTTGCCGCCAGTTGAGCAGTCGATTTTCGCACGGAGCACGACAGTCGAAAAAATTTGAAAGAAGCATTCAACACCAAGTCGAGAGAAAATAAATTTTATACCTTTACTCAAAATCAAACAACAAACACAGAATCGAAATTAGTGCTCGATATTTGACCAGCTGTGAAGCATTTAAACGAATCAAACCTTTTGATATACGAAAGAAAACGAAGGAGAACAGAACCCTCCGGAAACGACATTAACTTTTTCTATCCGTTTTATTATTACCCAACAGAGGCCCAAAAGGTGAGTGCACGCAGAAGAGGTCACGCTGCAGGGCCCAAGTTGTTTGTTATGTGTGGCATGCTGCAACAGTGAGTGTTCCTACCACCCACCCACCCATCATCATTCACATCCACCCACTCATTCGCTCGGTGTGACGTAACTGTCAGTGTGTGTGTACCATCTGAGATTGCTCATACGCCGCGTGTGCGAAAGAAAACAAACGCAGACGGGGCTCCGTTTGCGAATTTCGTTTGTTTTTGCACAAATCCGTGGGATAAACAAAGCTCAGGGGTTTGCAATCAGCGCAAAAAATACTCATAATTGATCGATGGCGGAACGGTCTAAATTTAGAACCCTTTCGACTATTGGGCGCCATCCGGTGCAAAAAAATACCCCTTTTCACAAATTGATCTGCAGTACACGGAAAACTATTTTTTACTTCTTTAAGGATTGCAAACAATTTAAAGATTGCAAACGAATTTATTTTATTATATTACGCTTACATTTTGCAATACCAAATATTTTCTTAAAATAAGGCAATAGCCTCAACTGTCGTTTTCGGTCTTGTTTCTTAAATTTTGTATTAAGGGCGTTAATTCAAGGCAATTATTCCTAAAATTAAGTAAATTTTTATCTAAAATCAATGAATTTTTTTTTTCTGGGCTAGGAAGTAATCGTTATCTTAGTATATTAATCCGATTTTATTTTAAAATCAATACCCTTAAACTTTAAAATTAAAACATAGGGAATATGGTAATATTTAACCTATGGTTGAAAAAAAATTAAAAATTATATAATTTTTTTAATTAAATATATAAAAGTTTTCTATTAAAAGTTCCATTTATGACCCCATTTTTTCCGTGTGCTGATCTCTGGCCGAATGCCCAGAAGTCTCGGCGTTCACGTGCCTCGGCGCTTGACGCTCTGCGAATTTGGCATTCTGCATTTTGCATTCTGCTCTACGGCAGTTCGCACATCCATGCGCGCTTTTTGTTTATAAATAAACCTTGAATAATGCCGGCATATTTGCACTGCTGTCTTTTCGCTGGTGGTTCGCCGACTGTCTTTTATCTCCATTTCTCGGCTCTTAATTGAGCTCTGACTCTCTGGAACTTACTTTCCTGATGAGCGAGGCGCTCGATTGAGTTTTTAGCATTGCCTCATGACGACGTCATTTGTTGCGCTTTTCGAGGTCGGTCGGTGATTCAGTGACAGTCCAACAAGTGCATAAGCAGTGGAAATTGCCATTTAGAGTGCAATTAATTCGTATAAATTAACGGCCAAATCGCTTACGAATTCACTAAACTATTTACTCATTCTATTCTGTCTTATTTTCAGCTAATACAAAATGTTTGCTTTGTGGTACTTAACTTTTGCGGTCGATGAAATACGGTAAGTGCAAGGGGGTTTTTTTCTACAGTTTGAAAATCACTGAAGGCCCACAGGGCGTATGGAGGTATTTTGGTGCCTACTTTTGGGATAGGTAGTGGGTGTTTGTGTAGAATCCATGTAAAGTTAAATATTTGGGGCGTAATTAAAGGCTTTTAAGGGTAAGTCCTCAAGGAATTGATTGCCCCTCTCTATCCCTAAAAAGTTACATTAGTTCATGGCTTAAAAAAAGAGTAATGATCTTCATTCAATGATTGTATGTACTAAGCCTTTTATGGTTGTTTCTTATTTATACCTTTTATTTTTTAGAACTGAAATTATCAATTAGCCGTAAAAATGTTCTAAAAAGTTAAAAAGAATTCCTTAATTTCTTATAAGAATTGCTTCAACCTATTAATAATTTTACCAATTCCATAAGTATAACCGATTTTTTTCAAGAGAAGCCTTTATTCTTGCATTGCATAAATCTTTGAGATAACTTTTGTCGCAATTTCGGTCGCAATCATTGCAAAACCGATAATCTAATCGGTATCAGTTGATGAATTAGCCCAATCTAGATTTCTATTTCCGCGCATGTTGCGAAACGATCGTTATGGTTGGGAGGTGCTAAATGTCACTATTCAATCTCCGTGCATTTGGCAACAAAGTTAGTCACCTAGCACTGTCACATGACGAACTATCAGCCCGGTTTCCACCCTCGCACTCCCCCGATCTCGTCGAGCTCCCCCAACAACCGGCTTTTGAGGCTCTAACTCTCATTCGTGATAAGTGCAATCAGCTCTCCGCACAAACACACTCTCGTTTGCATATGTGCGAAACCGAATTCGCAATTTTGGGCAACAAAAAATAAATAAACGTTGAGCGTCCAGTTGTTATCTACCGGCAATTAGCGTAATAATGAAAGTGATAATTGAAGTTTGGAGCGGTATTAGTTTTTTCCGTTCTCAGCCACAGCCGGCTTTTTGGCCCTGTTTTTCTTGGTGTTTGTGAGCCGGGTGGAGCTCGTTTATTTGCTTATCTATTTGCCGCATAAGTTTTTCGCCAGCGTATAGCCCATTTGGCCTACGTGACAAGAGAAATGCCGGCGTCTCCCAGCGAGAAATGGGGGAGTGGAGAAAGTAATTTCGTAACTCGGAAGGAAAATGGGTGAATTTGCGGTTACGACACTTTAGGGGCATCAAAGCACTACAATGTTATGGCCCTAGTGCCACGCCTCTTATCGGGTAACGCCTTTTCGTATAACAAAATAAATAATTGGCTCTATTACGTTGGTTTTAATGGGCAAAAGTATTTCGCTTTGCTTGCCAAGTTGTGGGTTAAAAAGAGCTTTGGGGCCCTAAGGGACCCTCAATCTCTATTAAACTTGTAATATTCGAACTTTAATACAGAGGTCTGAATTTTATTTTTACCTTCAAAACAAAAAATGATTTTACGTTTCTTATGTTAAAATTTGAACTTTATTTAAAAAACAGGGCTGCTCCGGAATTCTCATGAAAGGTGACAAGTGTGACCACATTAATTACTTAAACTTTAATAAAAATATGTTTTAAGGGAAACTATATATCTACGGATGCAAAAAGATGGCTTTAAATTTTTCAGAATTTCTAGCCCATTTTCTAGCATTTACCATTTAAAAAATTATTTTGGTTTCTTTTATTAAACTTGTTAAAATCCTATCCATTTAATGAGAAAATCCATGAAAAAAAAAATTATCTGATAAACTGTAGAGCTGTCATTTGTTATTAACCAAAACTTCTTACTCTTTCGGATTACCTGAGAGACATAATAATATAATAATTAAATATGTGTACATATACTTTCAACAGAATATTTTACAACAAAAAAGTAATTATTGGAAAATTAATCAACCCTACAGTTAGCTGTGTTTAGTGACCTCGTAAGCTTACAATAAATTTGGGTGTGGTCACACTGCTTGTCACTTTGCATTGTCCCTTTTACTTTTGTCATTCGGTCAATTAGGACGTGGACTGCAATTAAGTTTTGATTTGCTAATAAATAACCTGGTTTTCGTGTAAACTGATTGCCATTTATTGGATTTCGACTGTGTGCATTGCCTAGAGTTGAAGGTAGGTCGGATAATAGTGGAAATAATTAGCGAAAAGTGCATTTTCAATAGCGACGCGCTTGGTTGCTTTCGTTCTGGTAGTTTCTGGAAAATTCAGTGAAAAGATGCTACAGTAGACATTGCATAAAAGCGATTATTAGGTATTTAGGAGTATCTTGCTATAAATTGCTGATAATTTCAACGCCAAAATATCCTGATTTAGACATTTAACTTGCAATTAAATTTATTTTATTCGTAGTGCACTTTAGTTTATTGGTTATTTTGCAATTTAATTATTATTTATTCTGATTTTCTTTTGTTATTTACCTTTTTATTTGTAGCAAACGTTTAGCTTGGTTATTTAGTTCTAACAAGCCTGCAGCGCAAGCGCTAGACAACAAGCCGGCAAATCCCACTCCCGCCAAGGAATCCGCTCCAGCTCCAGTTCCAAAACCCGCTGCAGTTCCTGCCCCAACGCCAGAGCCCCCAAAACCAGCGCCTGTTGTAGCACCCAAACCCACACCGGTTCCAGTTCCTGCTCCAGCACCTGTTCCCCCGAAAGAGGAAGCACCCGCACCGAAACCCAAAGCAGAACCTGCTCCCGCACCCGTTGTTACCCCGCCCAAACCAACTTTACCAGCCAAACCCAGTAGTCCGCCGAAACAAGCCGACAAGATGCCCATCCCATTGCCCAAATCCTTGAGCGAGGCCAGCACAAATGGCCAAAATGGCAATGCAGCCAATGGCAGTGGGCCCGGAAGTGTGGATGAACGTGTTTTGGGCGGCCGGCAGGCGCCCGAGAAGGTGCTCCCGACGCCCAAGGATGCCAGCAACGACTTCATCAAGGGCGAGACCAATGCCTTCATCCAGTCCATTAAGGAGGCACAGCAGCTGGGCGAGCGGTAAGTCTTAAATCCTTTAGTTTCTTGTTTTAATTTTTTTTAATTTTGAGTTGTTATACTCGTTTCTTGTAGTCGTACAAAGGTATAGGCTACTTACTAATGCTAAGTCATATAAAGATAAATGCTTTCCCTACTCTTTATGGTATAGACTACCTATGAAGTCAATATTTTGTTTCTTTTGAATCTTGTAATTTTTTTTTTTATTGTATAGATTGTAGATAGTATTGCAAATATCTAGATTTCTAACAAATTTTATAATTTATTGGTTATGCCGAGCTTATATAAAATACACGCGTGAAGGTAGGCCACGAATTTTAACCCATAGCAGTTAGTAGCAGGTATCTCTAAGTTGAGGCCACTCAGCTATAGCGTTCTTTTGGTTTTATTTCGGTAACTTTTGAGTTTTTAAATTTAATTTTTCCGCATCTGCCATGGTGGGAAGTGGGTTCAATGCACTCGGATGACTTCTCTTCAACGGGCGAAAATAGTTGCCATGCGGCAGAAAGACAGCCGCTTGCTTGGCGACACAACGGTGCAGCGTCAGCAAATTCGTTGGATCACCAGCATGATGATGATGATGATGATGATGATGATGATGATGGCTATGGGTGGAGACCACAATTTGCTGTTATTTTTGTCTCATGTTCTGTGCTTGGGCGGACAGCTCAAGTCAAGTCGACTACTCACATGGCGTCGCCAGTTTGGGATCTGGTCCTGCATGTGCAGTTTACAGTTTATTTATGAACCTCAACATCGCCATGTGTTTGGTCTCCACTTCCTCTAATTGCGCGCAATTGATTTTCCATTAATATTAATCGAAGAAAACCTTGGGGCACGCAAGCCCTGCCGACTTGTCCTTGCCCCAATGTTGTCAGGTGTTCAAGGATCTCTGGCCGCCCTGCGAGGCAGGTTTATTAGTTTTTGGCAGGCTGCCCACGAGAAATGGAAATCGTAATGACGTGCCTCTGACGGGCCATTATGAGACCTGTCGCGTCGCCTGTAGTCGGGTCACATGATCTCCCCCATGCAAAGTTTATTTATATTTGGAAACGCAGCAGAGGCTGGCTGTTGTGGCGCGACAACGTACACACATTTCGTTACGTTTCATTGTTCATATGCATCAGATTAGCCCGGCAGCAGCAATATTTGCCTCCTGCTGCGGATAGATCCCATTTTAGCCTGGCGTCATGCCTCATATCTGATCCGCCTTTGGGCCCTCTTTCATAATGCCTGAAGTTCCTGATGGACAGAGGTCTTCATTTAGGTGTCTTGTTTGATGTACCCTCATATATATGCATAAGTATAATTTGCCTGTACATATGTACGGATATATATTTTAAGCACTTGGCTCGCGTCTGTGCAAAAAATTGCTTTTGGCAAGCGTCGCTTTTGATGTTCTGCCAAAATATTGTTTAGCAAACAAAAGGCAAGAGCCGAAACACAGATGGAAAGTTGACAACAGAACAGAGCTTTTAGCATATATGCGTTTTCGTTTCATTTTATGGCTATAATCTGTTGCAATCCGTGGATAATTAGCCACTGCTTTGCTAGTGCTAGAGCTCCTCCTCCGTTCCATTTTGAAGCAGTAATTTCACAGCTAATTGCCCGGATAGCGGGCACTGGGCATTAAGTTGGGCTCGTGCTTCGTTGGCCGCAAATTGAACTAATTAATAACACATATTTCAAATGGTTTACTCATTTTTGGCTTTCGTTTTTGCAGCTACATTCTCGATCGCTGGCCTCCACAGGGGTCGCAATCAGTCAATGACTAAATGCTACTATAAACATTGCCCACCATTCATACGTTCGAGAAAGTTATGCAAGTTGTTTCGATTCGTCAGATGTGCGGATAAAGATCGCGTATGTCGAGGCTTAGTGTGTAAGCGATCACATCTGAGGAATCAAGCGGGACTTAGCTTACTGTAGGCTCGTCACATGCAGCCTCAGTTCTACACTAATCTCTTAAAAAGATATACATACAGTTGCGGGTAAAATATTAACTTTGTGAACTTGGAAGAATTTATAAAGGCTTTTGGCAGGCATACTTATTTGAAATACAATACCCTGGTTTATTTCTCTCTAATTTGGACACAAAAAATAAATATTTATCGTATAAGTAACAAAAAAGTAATTTTAAACCTTCTCGAAAAATAGTCGATTAGTGTGGTAAATATATTTTAAGAAAGACAACCATAGGGCCTATAAAAATGACCCGCTCTGTACGTTCTATACCCCCATATGCTAAGTGCTTTCTCAACTGTGTGTCAACAGTAACGAAATCGCCAGTGGCTGCTATTGTATCTACATATCCGCGAGCTTGTTTCGCAAGCTTTTCAAGGTCAGCCCAGTATAGTACATGCCATTTCGCTTTTCCCCCACTTGTTAGTTGGGGTTTAGGTCTATTGTTCTATGTGAAATCCTACGCGGCACCAGCCCCCAAAGGCTGCCAGCTGGTTGATGGGTTGGTTGCTTGGTGGTTAGGAGTCGCTGTGGAATGGAAAAGCTGCTGGGCGCATTTACGTAATCTCAGCGCCACTTGACGGCAGCAATTGAAAATGAAAACGAAAACAGGCGGGGCAGAAGTGACAGTTACCAAAGTAAAAATTGAAAATGCGCAAACTTTTCAAGAAAGAGCAGAGGCGACAACATTTCTGGATTATATAAGCATCCTGCGTGGCTGCTGTAGCCTGGCTTTCATTTAATATATATAAAGAATTAATTTGTACATATTTCTTAAACGTATATAATTTGATTGTTGGAATGGCGGTTTGATATGTATTTTAATATCCGCCAGTGGAAAATTCGTGTTCTGATGAAAAGCAAAAGTTTTGCGTTTTTTGAAAAACAACACACGTAGATAGATGGGTTAGGTGTCTTAAAATCTTTCGATGTTTGCTGCGCGTTGCATAAATTTTGTTGGCAACTTTTCAAATATTTTCCCTCAGTTTTCGTTAGTAACAAATGAATATGTTCGCTTCGATAACACAACATATGTATGTTAGGCATATGTATGGGTTACCCAAAAGATTCAGATGATTTGTCTGAGAATTCAATATCAAGTTCAAGACTTTTGTTAAAGATTGTGTAAACGATTATAATAGATGGTGTTTATTTGTTTGAAATATGGCAAGGGAAAAATTTTGGGATCCGTGCAAATTAGGTATCTGAATAACAAAACTGAAAATTATAGTTAAGTTGGCCACATCTATGTGTCTTTAGTATTTATCGAATCTCCCCCGAATTTGTTTAAATCTTTTACATTTAACAGCACAACATTTTTCATTTTATATTGCGGTATTAGTGCCGAAATTTATGACAGCAACGTTGTGTTTGTTTTCTATTTGGCCAAAAACAACAGATTTTTTTCTATACGTTCTAGGTGTTGATATATATTATAAATCATGCTATTTTCATTACAGTCCATCCTTATTGACTAAAATTTTCTTAAAGACTTCGCTGTGACAATAAAACTGAAAAATTATTTTTAAATGTTCATAAACTTCATAAATTGTAAAAATAAGTGAATAAGAATTAGCTTACTCCTATAAAAAAACGTACCAGAAATGAGAGTTAAAAATAATTAATTATTACTAAAGCAAACATTTTTTTAACCGGTGTTTTAAAAATGAAAAAATTTATGTAAATCACTCAAATTTAATTATTTTGGCAGTGGTAATCTGACAAAGGGACAGTAATATGTGTGTTTTTTCACAGAACAAATCTTTAGAAATAACTTTGGATATACAAGTTATATTATATTTTGTCATCTGGACAAACAATTGGGTTTCTGTGCTTCGTTCGTTTTGGTTGTTTATTCATCAGCTTAAGCTCGGATCTTGTGAGCTGGATTCCATTCCGAATATTTGCGCTTCTCATTGAAGGAGTGACTGTTTACTGGTGCAATTGTGCCACTTGCCTTGATTACTTTCAACGCTCATCATACCATATCATTTCATTCCGTTTGCTGTCGGCGAAGTCTAGTCATAATTAAGCGATGAGACCGCTCCTTGAGTATGCGGTTGTGTGAGTGTGTGTGGCACACCCACCAAGTGCAGCACACAAACATAATATTTTTGATTTGCGGCTGCAAGAAGTCGGTGCTCCTCTCTGCCCTCTCGCTCCCACTCACGCATGGAGCAATGCAGTTTTCTAGCTGTTTGCGAAGCGAACACTTTCCTTTTCTTTCTTTGGCGAGTGAGCTTTCCTTTGCTGTGTGTGTGTGCGAGAGAGCTTTACCTTTCTACTTTTTAGTCATACGTCACGTCCTACGTCAATCGTCGGCGGCTACCAATACATAGGCACCACTCCCTACGTACACAGAGAACAAAAGTTGATATGATATTATGATTTGGTAATTGGAAATATAATTTTATTTAATGTATATTTAATAAAAAAATTTAAATATTGAATTATGAAAACAATAGATTTTTAGTTTCTTTGAAAAAAAAAATTTTGAATTTTTTTTATTAAAAGTTTGTTTGTTTCCGTGCATGCCACAACGCTGGCAGAGGCGGTGGCAGAGGAGCCAGGAGGCAGCTAGTAGGCAGCTTTTGCTCTCTGTCGCTCTTTGGATTTGGCGTCTGTGTGAATATTTTCGTTCGTGTAGTTTGAAAGTGAAAGAAGGAAGGGTGCCTCTGCCGCTGCCGCAGTCGCTGCCTCTGCCAACTTTGGCGCTATGAAGCACCGACTGCAGTCAGTTGGGTTAAAGAACAGAATATTCTGATCATTGTATCGTTGGACGTTGAATTCTACGGTTGCAAAGGTGAGCCGTTCTCCAAAGATAATAATTGCAAGTCAAGTGAAATTTTCAGACGTTAAAGTACCTCACAGATACAGTTTAATCTTTAATTTAACCGTTTTGTGGCACCTTAAAAATAAATGGCAATCAATATACAGTGAATTTGTAGTCTAATTGAATTTCTCGTTTAAAAACTTAAGATTTAAATCTTTTGTATTACGGATTTATGGCAAATGAAAGTTAAATTTTCCCCATTTCAAATTTTTGCAACAGTGAATGGCTTTTAAATTTCAATCGTTAACTTAAGGGGCTTGTGTACATTTTCGGGACTTGTGTAGATTTTCGCAGTTTAATATCCATTAAAAACAGTGAATTGAATTTGGAGGTTTAATTTTATTGGCAATTAAATGCTTTGTGCTGCTTTTGGATTGAAAATGATGAGATATAAATACTATGAGCAATTCAGATAATTTTTTTGAATTTTTGAAACCTTTATTTGATTTAAATTTATTTCTCTTAAATTTAAGAGTGGTAAAATTAAATTTATTAATTTAATTAATTAAAAACTGAAAACTATTTCTAGTTTTATATTTTTCGGGTTTGTCTTTAAATTATAATAATTGTGTGCCAACTAAAAGTTTAATTTTTTTATATTTTTGCAATCGAAACAGTGAACAACTTTTAGATTTCAATCCTTGAGCTTACATGAAAATTTAAATACAAAACAGTGAAATGCCTTTAAATTAAATAAATTTAACCATTTTGTGGCAAGCAAGTGAATTCTATTAATTAATTCTTACGGCTATTTATTAATATTCTCCCGCTATTGAGTTTGAATCTGTGCGTGTGTTAAATTTTCACATCCCCAGTTGAGTCATGCAATGCATTTTTGCAATCCGAAAACCGGTTACCGGCGAAAAGAAATTTATACGGGCGGCTATAGGCTATCAAGCTTTAAGTTTATAGCTATGCAGTTTCAGATTCTTTTTTATTTCGCCAGCCAGCAGCAAAAACTTGTTTGGCCCTGCTGCCACGGTCTGGCAGCCGCTGACGCTCCGTCCGTCTGCCACATTTGTATACACCATGTAGTTGTGCAATTTTGCGGCCAAATGCCAATGAACGGAGGACTGTACCGCTTGCCAAATGCAGTGAATGAGCGTTTGAGGGGGTTCCGATGTTTGCGGGGGTGCAGTTTAAGGTCGGCCGTTCGTTGGCTCTTAGAAAGTGCTGTGTAGCGTGTTCCTGTATCGATTTCGATAAGATATTGGCCCGTGCTAATGCCATTCTAACTGAATGATAGATAAGAGGCGACGAAACGAACTTTAAGTTGGCACTTGGGTGGCTTCTTTGCTTTTTTTATGTTCCTCTCCCTTTTTCCACTCCTTGAACTTGCCCACAAACAGCGACTATAAATAAATAAGAAAAAGTTCTTACCCGGCAATAAAACAAACATTTTCGCGGTCAATGCCAGGCAGTTGCATAATCGCAGATAGGAATTTTATCAACGTTTTCAAACAATTAAACCAGTAATGCTGGGCAAGCACAAAATCAGGGCAACGCAATCCCAGAGGGACAATTATATAAGACAGTTTGAGAGCCACTTGGAACGTCCGATCGAATTTACCCAGCCAAATTTAGTTCGGGTTGATATAATGCCGGCCGCTAAAAATACAACCCCGCCAAAGCAAATAAGCAAAACAAAAGCACAAGCACAAGCACACATCGGGGAACACAGATGGATAGGGGGTAGCTAGGTAGATAGGTGTAGGTACCTAAAAACACACGAAAATTCCAAAAGCATATTATTATATAGGTGAACAGCTGACAAGTTTACGAGGGTCTTTGTATATGATTTGGGCTTTGTATATCATACAGTTTGTTATATTCAGCAAACAAATCGCGCAAATTTGTTGTACAAATTGTTAGCCCCGGGCATTTTTTTTTGCTTCTCCACTGGCACGTTGTTGTTAATTATTCAATTGAGATCTATTAAAGCGCTCGACTGAATAAGAACGGAAAAGGCAGAGTCGGAAAAAATCGAGCGAGAAGCCCGCACGATTAAGTTGTCACAAAGCTGGAAAATCCGCGTTTCCCGCAGTCTAGGTAGTTAACTGGGTAACGCTTCTATTTTCCCTGGCCAAACAAAAGGTTGCAGGTTGCATAATCAAAGCTGGGTTGGGTTCTTTGGCTAGACAGGAAATGAAATCGCACACATAAATCATCGAAAGGCTAGGGGAAGCGGCTCCCCAGAGGGCCAGCCAATCAATTTCGAATAACACCAAGCCGATTTTTCTCGCAAATCATTCGGCCAGTAAATAAACAAATAGCTTAAATTTCACAAAAACGTAAACAACTCGAACGATTTGAGTTCTTTCAAGAAAACAGCTATACCAATATTTTCGAAGCGACTGTTACTGAATGAATGAGAGCTTTTTATTTCCCTTCCCTTTAGGAAGTTGTCTACGCCTTCTGGGAGGTAAAAGCTCCTTATAAGCTTCCCTTAAACCTGGTCTCTAACGATTGATTCCTTTTTCTACATTTGCAAAGTAAAAACTTGGAAACTCTGTGTAGAAAGTAATATATATTTTACTTTTACAGATGTAGAAAGCGCTAGATGGCGACAACTACTACTCATGTAGTAAAAATGTAATAATATAAACGACTTCTTTAAAAATAAGACTATCAAAGAGATTTCTGTGTTCTTCTAAAAAAAATGTATGAAATTTAATTAAGAAATTCTCAGAAATTTTTAGGTTCCCCACACACTCACTGTGAACACTTACTAGATCTTGCCGTTTCCCCACAAAATATGCATCCTACTTAAAACCCTTTACTGCTTCTATGTCTTAATGAAGCCTCGTATGATTTTCGCTGATTGTCTTCCCAGACAGCGCAAATTTAAATCAACGACATCCGGGTAGTGCCTGCACCAAATATTTTGCGGCACTTGCTGCTGTGCAAAAAGTTATTTTTCATCATCTTCAGTAGTGTTTACATATATGTATGTGCCTATATTTCTCTGCATGCTGTCTAATTGAGTGTGAGCCGCTTTGACGTTTTGCCAAAAGAATTTTAATTAAATTAGGACCGCAAGAGAAAAAATAGCGAGTGAAGAGGAGAATCTCGTCAGTAAATGCGGGTGACCAGCAGCAGCCCTAATAACACCCGTCGCTCCCTGACTCACCCCTAATAACCGGACCCCTATATTGCCAGATATATATTAATAAGAGCTTTATGTCACAGCCAGCAATATTATTGGCCGGAATTATTGTATGCGGAAAGGGCCTCCATGTCCATGTCCAGATTCAATTAGTGTCGAAAGGAGAGTGTGAATGAATGTTGGGTACATTCATTTGGATGGGTTATCAGTTATGCTGGCGTTTGGGCCCAAACTTTCCATTCCCATTCCCCTTATCAAATCCGTTGACCAGTTTGGAGTGACTGCCCGCCGTTCCCAATTTCCCATTGCAGTCGCTCACGTCGGCCAATTTCCCGAAAATACATTTCGAATTATTTTCGTACACTTGCCAATTTCTTTGTGCAATCGACTGGCCAAAATCGCAATTAACGAAGGCAACTATTGCAGCGATTTCTCGGGTGAACGACCAGACCAGACCGTTGGCCATAAACTTACCCATTGCACTGGCTGGCTGGCCGTTTAGTGTTCGCATTGCCAATTTCCCCCCAGATTTGTTGCTGCAATACTGTTGCGTTATGTTAAGGCCAGTTTTATGGTGGCCAAACAACCACTTGTGGCCAGAAGAAATGAATTATTTGCTCAAATCCCGGACTGGGCTATCTTATCACCATCCCTCCATTGGGAATGATCATTTCTGACAGCCGAGACGGTTTACGATTTGCAGTTTAGAGCTTATCTACTGCTGGCTTATCTGGCCAACTCTCCTGGCCAAAATGCACACTTCTCTCTCTGGGCTCTCACCTGCTCTCTTTCTCCAGCTCCAGATTTGCAGCAGGTGATTGGGTGTATGCCTACTCGCAGTCGCCGATTTGCGCTAGCCATTCGCGAATTGTTGCTTAGCCTTGACGGTTGCAAAAAATAAAAAAATTCGTGCGTGATATCGTTATAAAGCAAAGGCTCTAAGTAGTAGCCCAAATCGAATTAAGCCGACTTGGTGACGCGTGTGTGATTAGAGCCACCCCGTAACACTAGAGCTGCTCTGCTGATCCTGCCCCGGGGTTACAGGGGGTTATACTGTCCCCTCGGTAGTCCCTGCTCACCCCAAGAATCCCGTGTCTGTCCGCTGCTCATCAAGAGGGTTACATAATGAAATCAGTTTTTTTTCAATTGTGCGTCAGCTTAATTTGATTTGTCCGCCCGACTTTTAAGTGCCTTCAGACCGGGTTTGCTTTCCTCCTGCCCAGTTTTTAGCCTGCCATGTTTGTGTGCTCCAATTCCAGTTTGTCTATCGGGGCGGCACTTGAGTTAATTGATTAGTTTCAACGCCTTCCAGACAGGCCAATAAGTCATTACTATTATCTGGCATGATTCGGAGCCACTTAAAAGTTAGAAGTTTCCAACCAACGCCCCCTTTGGGTACATTGCAAATCGCAATGACCACCACTATCTTTACGAGGCACTAACATTAACAAGCCTCAGATTACTCATGCAGTGCAGAATGAAACGAAAGGCTCATATGACTCTCAAATGATGTAGAAACTTCCACTGCGAAACAATAAACACTTTGCACCGGCTACCAGTTAAAATGGCAAATTGTTTACAACTCGCCATTAATATTTACAGAGCCAAAGCCAAATGGCGATGGCAAATGGCAAAATGGAAAAGTAAGTGATCGGCTGCGATTGCGATTACTCACTCACTCCGACTTACACCATCGCCCACTGGCCGCCGCTGAGTAATTGAAGCTGCAAATGAAATTAGCCAAAACAAAACAAAAGTCTGAAAATACGGCGTTTAATAAACGAAATATTTTCACGACTTAATGTGCATTAGACATGCAATGAGTGTTTGTCTGACGACACATTGGAACCAGTTCCCTGCTCTCAAGTTCAACTCAACCCGCAATGGGTTAATTCACAAGCTTGAAGTGCCCATTCCCGTGTCCTTGTCCTGGGAATCCTGCAAGCTGGCTTTGATTTCCATTTGCCGAGTAATTGATTTTTTTACACACTCAAGAGAGGTCTTTGGGGAGGGGGGGTAAAAGAGAAAGGAGTGTACGTGTACCCGATTCCTGTCATTACCAGAGCACATTTCACACTCCAGTCCGACACTTGAAGTTGACTTGACCGCCCGGGCTGGAGGCGGAGGCAGAGGCGGAGGTAGAGGCTCAACAATTCCCAGCTGCCAGTCGCGTGCTATAAACTTTATTGATTCGGGTAGCAATTGCAGCGAGCGGGTGCACGGGGTAATGGGCATTGGGTGGTTGGTGGTGGGTCCAGCGCATCGTGTAAATATATCCTTCCGCATTATGTTGCCGCTCATCCGGCAACAGTTTGGACCGGCGCCTGCGGGTAGGCATTGCTGCTGCTGCTTCAACCCTCCAATCCTCCAATCCTCCAACCTCGACCCGATACGACCCGACCCTCCCCGAAATATTGGGCAAATATAGCCGTATAGCACTTCGATTGAGAGCACTCTCTTGCTGGGAAACTCCGGGTTAAAAATCTCCCAGCTGAGCGCTGAATGCGGCTCAATGCCGGCGCTAAAGTGCGGGCCCATTGGGTGCGACGGCGCTCGGCAGTTTCATTCGATTTGCCGATTGAAGTTGGCAAGTTCGTCCTTTGCTGACTGTTGTGTGTTGTCCCACGCTCGCGAGTCAAAGGCGCGCGCTAAAACATTGTGCAGAGCAGAGCAGAACAGAGCAGAGCAGAGCAGCTCCAGTAGTCAGTCAGCCGAGCAGCAGTCAGCAAGTCCTTTTGCTCCCCCAAATAGCATCGCGTAGTGTTTGTTTAGTGTAGTATACATTTGGGCGCGGCAGCAGCGAAAAGCACAGAGTCGCAGGAATCTCGAAAAGGAAGAAAAAAAATATACAACATTGTTGCGTCCGATATTTTGATACCAACGAAGAAGACCACCAGAAAACGGAAACTTAAATCCGCTAAAACGAGAATCAATCAATCCCAATCACCAAGCACCAATCACCGAAAATCAAAAGCAATAGCGTTAAGCAAAGCGTGTCTGTGTTTGAAGAACGGAGTGTATGTGGATCACCCAAAGAGATCCTTGAAGAGCTAGAACAAAGCTGCATTGTGATTTCATTTTACCTGCAAACGCAACCAAACAAACGAAGATTGGTTTTTTTTATATACAAACACCGACTTTGTGACCAAGCGAACGCCAAATTTTTAAACGTTTTTTGAAAACTTTACACCACCAACTCTACAAAAACCACACGCAAAATGGGTCTCTGCGCCTCCAAGGACAAGAAGGAGAAGGTGATCGAGGGCGAGGTGGCCAATGGCGAGCCCAATGGCACCGCCACGGCAGCCGCCGCTGGAGGAGATGGGTGTGTATCCCGGGGCTCCGGGGACTTTGCGGGGTTTATGTCTCCTAGCCAGGAGTTGTCTCTATGTCCCCTGGGTGGGTGACGGGTAGGAGGCACTGACGTCATGTGTGTGTGTGTGTGTGTGTGTCGGTGCGTGAGCTGTGTCTGAAAGCGGCCAAAAATAATGTGGCATAGAAAAATTATTATTGCCCTGGTCCTTCGTTTTGTCCAGGACTTCGGCTGGGTAGCCATGTTGTTGTAGTGCGCATGTCCTTTGGCGGTCGGGGAAGGGGAAGGGGAAGAGCGGGTGTATAGTGTGCCGTCGATTTGCGTATTCAGCGGCAGCCGGCAAAATTTTATAGTCAGTCAGCCACCACCGAAAGCAGGACACAACCGAAGAACAGAGCCAGAGCCACCACCTCTAAAAAAGGGGCGTTTTGGGAACAGGAGTGATGGGTGTTGGGTGTTGGGTGCTGGGTGCTGGGTTATGGCTTAGGGAGAGTAAAAAGGAATGAGGAAAGAGGGGGGTATATGTGGCAGTCGCGTGCCAGACTTAAGTCGGGTATGAGAGCACATGGCCATAACCCGAAACTAATTGCGGGGCAAAACAGGCCGGATTCCGAGGAAAACAGAAACAGGAAAACATGTTGCCGACTTTTGGGCGCCACAAAACGGAGATAGCTAGCCCGTAGCAATAAAAACTTGAACTACCGCCCCAGCCACGCCCTTTTACTAATGGTCAATCCCCTTTTTTCTGTCTCTCTTTCGGTGTGTATTTGCAGCAAACAAGACACCATGGTTGATGCCGCTGTTCTCGCTAAACTGGAGGAGGGTTATGCCAAGCTGGCTGCCTCCGACTCCAAGTCGCTGTTGAAGAAGTACCTGACCAAGGAGGTCTTCGACAACCTGAAGAACAAGGTCACGCCCACCTTCAAGTCGACCCTGCTGGATGTGATCCAGTCCGGCCTGGAGAACCACGACTCCGGCGTGGGCATCTATGCCCCCGATGCCGAGTCGTACACAGTGTTCGCCGATCTGTTCGACCCCATCATCGAGGACTACCATGGTGGCTTCAAGAAGACCGACAAGCACCCGGCCTCCAACTTTGGCGATGTGGCCACCTTCGGCAACGTTGACCCCACCAACGAGTACGTGATCTCCACTCGCGTGCGCTGCGGCCGCTCCATGCAGGGCTACCCCTTCAACCCCTGCCTGACCGAGGACCAGTACAAGGAGATGGAGGGCAAGGTGAGCAGCACCCTGTCTGGACTGGAGGGTGAGCTGAAGGGCAAGTTCTACCCCCTGACCGGCATGGAGAAGGCCGTCCAGCAGCAGCTGATCGACGACCACTTCCTGTTCAAGGAGGGCGATCGCTTCCTGCAGGCCGCCAATGCCTGCCGCTTCTGGCCCAGCGGCCGTGGCATCTACCACAACGATGCCAAGACCTTCCTGGTCTGGTGCAACGAGGAGGACCATCTCCGCATCATCTCCATGCAGCAGGGCGGTGATCTGGGCCAGATCTACAAGCGTCTGGTGACCGCCGTCAACGAGATCGAGAAGCGTGTGCCCTTCAGCCACGACGACCGTCTCGGCTTCCTGACCTTCTGCCCCACCAACCTGGGCACCACCATCCGTGCCTCCGTGCACATCAAGGTGCCCAAGCTGGCCTCCAACAAGGCCAAGCTGGAGGAGGTTGCCGCCAAGTACAACCTGCAGGTGCGCGGCACCCGCGGCGAGCACACCGAGGCCGAGGGCGGTGTCTACGACATCTCCAACAAGCGTCGCATGGGTCTGACCGAGTTCGATGCCGTCAAGGAGATGTACGATGGCATCACCGAGCTGATCAAGCTCGAGAAGAGCCTGTAAATTGCCCGCACACCGCCGAGCATCGTCCCCCCGTCTGGTGGTGCATCCCCAAGGAGCTAATATCTGTCCACGGGAGCCACCAGTTCGGGGCACACGCAACAATCAACAACAACAACAACAAGAACAACCAACAGCAACACTTAGAAATCTTCGGCTCGTCCGCCTTGTCGCTTTTGGGCGGTACGGGCTGCAAAAATGTCTAGTTTGTAGCGATGGTGCGGAGCGACTTGTCCCAGCCCGGCGACCTTCGGCATTTTCGTATACTTTGAGGGTTGCGGGCGCAGGCAGCGATCCCATCTTGCAACACCAACAACACCCACTGCAGCAGCAACAACAACGGATAACTATTTGAGAATAACATTTGCTTAATTACAACCAAACAATGTAAAACATTTTGACATCTGTGTCGAGCAAAAACAAAAAAAGAAACTTTAAATACTTTTATTTTAAGTCTTAAGTTTATAAAAGAATTAAAATTATTAAAAAATAATAAAAAAAAAAAAAATAAAAACCCAATTATTGTGTTGTCTTGAATGGATCAAGGATTGAGGAAGAACAAAACTCAGAGTATACTTAGTGCTTTGACCCAATTATAAAGTAGATTCATTTTAAAAAGGTCTATAATAGTTTGCATTTTTTTAAGAAAGGGTTGCGGGCGCAGGCAGCGATCCCATCTTGCAACACCAACAACACCCACTGCAGCAGCAACAACAACGGATAACTATTTGAGAAAAACATTTGCTTAATTACAACCAAACAATGTAAAACATTTTGACATCTGTGTCGAGCAAAAACAAAAAAAGAAACTTTAAATACTTTTATTTTAAGTCTTAAGTTTATAAAAGAATTAAAATTATTAAAAAATAATAAAAAAAAAAAAAAAAAAACCCAATTATTGTGTTGTCTTGAATGGATCAAGGATTGAGGAAGAACAAAACTCAGAGTATACTTAGTGCTTTGACCCAATTATAAAGTAGATTCATTTTAAAAAGGTCTATAATAGTTTGCATTTTTTTAAGAAAGTTTTATAAAAAATTAATTTATTGCAGGTAAAGTATTACTATTGCTTTGAACAATATAATTTTGTGAAGATAGGTAAGTCTGGATTGATTTTTTGTACTGGTTAAATTTAGAACCTAAAAGATAATGTGCATTCCAAACATTCAATCTAAGCTTTCTTTGCCTTGCATTCGGCTTCAATGAGGCCCTTAATCCCGTCATGCATTTCCTTGATGATCTCGTACTCGGTGAGTCCAATCCTTCGCTGGTTGGATATGTCGTGCACCCCGTCCTTGGCCTCCGAATGCTCCCCCGAAGTGCCGCGGATCTGGAGATGGTACTCCTTGGCCAGCTTCTGCAACTCATCCGGCTGGTCCATGAGATTGGGCAGCTTAATATGCACCGAGGCGCGAATGGAGGTGCCCAGGTTGGTGGGACAGAAGGTCAGATAGCCAAGCCGGTCGTCCCTGGTGAACTCGATCTCCTTGCCCAGGGCATCCACGCCGGCAACCATGCGATTGTAGACCCTGCCCAGATCGCCACCCTTCTCCATCGCGATGACGCGAATGTGGTCCTCCTCGTTGCACCAGACCATGAAGTCCTTGGGCTCGTTCAGGAAGATGCCCCTGCCGGTTGGCCAAAAACGAGAGGCTCCTGCGGCCGCCAAAAACCGATCGCCCTGCTTGAACAGAAAGTGGTCGTCGATGAGCTGCTTCTGGACCGCTTCGTCCATTCCAGTGAGTGGCATGTAGGTGCCCCTGTGTTCGCAGGTGAGCGTCATTAGTGCCTTGCAAAGCTTGCTCTCCAGCTCCAGGTAATCACGTTCCCTCAGGCAGGGATTGAAGGGGTACCCTTTGACGGCTCTTCCGCACCGGACCCGCGTCGATACGATGAAGTTGCCGGCGGGATCCAGGTTTTCGAAGTCCTTGCCCTGACCGAAACAGGGCTTGGGCTGCTTGTCCGTCTTCTTGAAGCCTTTGTGGTACTCCTCGATGACGGGATCGAAAAGATCGGCGAACACCTTGTATGCCTCCGCATCTGGAGCGTAGAGACCCACGCCGGAGTCATGGTTGCACAGTCCCGAACTGATGCAGTGCATCAGTGTGGAGTTGAACGTCGGCGTCGTCTGGGTCTTCAGCTTGTCGAAGATCTGCTTGGTGAGATGCTTCTTCAGCAGCGACTTGGACTTGGAATCGACCAGCTTCTTGTAGCTCTCCTCCATGTCCTTCAGCAAATCCTTGTCGATCTTAGCACCACTTTTGCTAGCATAGCGATTGATTGCTAGATGTGTCCACCGATTTAATATTCCAAGTTTAAGCCGGGGTTGTGTTTGTAACACCATTTTAAAAGAGCCAATATTCGAATGTTCCAAGCCAGGGTGACCGAAATTTGAAAGTTACACTATACCAAAGGGCTACCAAAACTAGCCAAAAACTAAACACTAAGAAATAGTCAACGGGTAAGAAACTTCGGTTTCACTCATTTCTAAATATAGGTAGATGTCTAAAAGCACTGATGATGTTAAGCACAGATTCAAACCATGGCATGGAACTCTGTTATCACTAAGTAGAGACTTAAATTATTTTTAGTCCAATTAGCATGGTTTTCTTATGTCAAATACATATATTTGGTACTTTTTTAAACTTGTTGGATGTTTAGTTATATTAGTAGCTAAACAAAAATCTTTCAAATAAGTTTTACAGAAGCACGTTCTTTTATTCCTTTTAAAATTTTAAATACACACTTTTTTCTCAGTGTAATGGTTTATCAAGATCTGTAACCATTGTAAAATACATGTATAATTCGTGTGTAAATTTGTGTTAAAAATATGTCAGATATGGTAAAAATATTATTTCTTGAGTAAATAGTTAGCATTAAGATGAAAAGGCGTTAAAAGTATAATCTAAAAACCAATTTAAATAAAGAATTTGGTTATAAGACGATTAAAAATTATTCTTTATTTAACATTATATCTTGGGCTTATAAAAAAACGCAGGAAATTGATAAAACGTTATATCAAAACAAAATTATGTTTCTACCTGTTGTTATCGTTTATCTGACAACCCAACTGACCAATATTTGGCAGCACTGCGGACAACATAAGCTTCAATAAAGGGCACCAAATCATACTTAAAATATTATAAAATAAGGTGTGTTAAATGTTATTGCTAATCACAGCTCACCTCGACCTGTTCTCATTCGCACAATTTAATTAAATGTTTGCACGCTGTTTGGCTCATAAAACAGAGAATGCGAACATTTTTATAGCTTAAAGCTTAAATACCAAATCAAATATATTATAATTAGCAATAAAGAACAACAAAAGCAGCTGCGGCAACAACAATACGCTAACATGTGGCGCAAATAAAATTCAAATCCGAACGGCAACACCTTCTCAATAAAGCATCGTTATCCTCATTATCATTATCAACAGCTTTGACCGCAAACCGGATTTGGATATTCGGTTTTGGGTATGTGTTTCGGGTATGGACCAACCTACACAACAAAATTCATTAAGTATATTAAAACAAGCGCAAATTAACAATGCAATACGTGAGCGATATCCATTTGCATTTTTATCTCATAATCTACCAATTTTGACGCTTTTTGCCACCGTTTTTCGAAAAGAAGCCAGCCGCAAATCAGCAAAAAAAAAGCTAGCATTTAAAAAAAAAACACTTCTGAAGCGCAGACGCCGACAAGATTTTATGTATTTTTGGCCCCTTTTGTTTTTGGTGAAAACGTGCAAATCCCATAATTTAATTGTTTCAGTATTTCAGATGCAAATTTATGCGCCAACAAATCCAATCGAAGACGAGGAGAAACACAAAGCGCTAATACAAAACTAAGCCCAAATTAGTCAAAGCAGCTTGAAACGCGGTTTCGTGTGGCCAGTGAATTATTTCGCGCTGCCGCGGATTACATTATGCATAATCTATGCAAAGGTTTCTATGAATGGAAGCCAGATCGTTCGATCTGCCTTTGAACTATCCGCATTCGAGGAGAGAGTGGGTCGACGTCGGTCTAGGTATTCTCCGGGTTCCATCTACTGGGTGCACTTAAAAACTTAATTAAAAATATTAAACACGAAATGTTTGGCGCCACCGTTTAGGAAGCGCTCAAAAGTGGACCCCACACGCATCCACGACCGCCGCGTTATCAGCTCAATTATGCAAGCTGAAAGGCAGCCGCCGGCCCACAGACGGATTTGTCGCATTTGACACGATAATGCACACAAGGAGTGACCACACCAAAGTCTCTCCATCGGCATTGCCTCGGCATCGGCATCATTCTCGACCAGCTCCCACTTCGTTTTGGCCTGGCCAATGGCCATAAAAGGTGCGATAAAACGAAAATTTCACAAGACGGCAGCAGCAACACATGCACTGAAGAAAATTGGTTAAAACTTGATTTAGCCAGACGGGAAATGCGAAAATCTTAATTTGTTTAGTTTTGGAAATTTAAAAAGATTTAGTATATATAAATATATAGTGTATAAGGGGTCGAACACTTGCAAACTCTAAAGGGTTCAGATAATCGAGCAACGATCAACGATAGATAGCAACGAAAATAACTCTTTTTAAAAAGTTTGAAAAGAGTGGGTTCCAAATGATTTTTACCATAGTAAAAAAAACTTATTTTAAAAATAGGCAAAAAAGACTTGTTGCAGTTCCGAAAATACAAAAGCTTTAATTAAGGTGGGGCTTAATTTTTAAGTCTTCTAAACAAGCATTGTATTAAATTTTATTACCTTATATTAATTGTTGTTTTTAATTTCAATCAAAGAAATTATCAATTTAAATGAAAATATCAAAGCTAATTTTAAAATTATTTGACAAACATTAGATTTTTTAGTTTTATATTTTCTTTGTAAATATCACTTTAAAGCATAAGTAAATTAAGAATACATCTTTTAATATTATAAAGTTTTTTTCAAAATATTTTTAAATGTTATCCGGTTAATGTAGATCACTTAAAAATCTACTAAACTTTTCGAGCATAATGAATTGGCAAGGCTGTTAAGCTTCTCGAAGTAACCACTTTCTTCTTATTAGCCTGGAAATTAAATAGAACCTACCAGTTAAAACATTTAGATTAAAAACATAATTTATTTTTTCTGTGCAGGCTCCTCTGCGTCATCGGCTCTCTTCGGGGGATGGGGATGAGGATGAAGTCGCAGGGGAGTTGGGTCGGCAAAGACCAAACGGCCTGAAAGCCGTCAAATCGCTGCTCATAATGGACGCCTTATCTTTCCAGAATTGCTTTAACTACTACCGGAGTTGGATGTGTTTCAGATACGTGTGGCTCGAGAATCGACTGGTCACCATAATGGAGAGCATTAATTTGTCTTAGGCCCGCCAAAGCGGTCGCCAAACAACTTTTGGCCCAGGCACCTCGATAGCGCCAAACCTGTAAAAACGGAAACGCTGAAGGCTGTTTCCCTTCCCCCGCACGAAAAGTTTTGCATTTGCTGTATTTTGTTTATTCTGTCCAAAGACACTTAAAACGATTTAACAAAGTATATGATTGCGGCTGGGTACTTAAACGATCTTATGGCTAGTATACAGTAGCTTACAAAGTATATGCACACGTTTCTCACTAATCACAACAGAAGATGACTCCAACCTAAGTGGTTCGTACTACGATTTTTCAGTACGCCAAAATGGCTGAAATGCTGAAGCTATTCCGCTTGGTGGAGGTCGAAGGCTTGGGTGTGCTGGAGCCAACTGGTTGTGGTGCCACAGGACTGACAGGAGCAGGAGCTGGCACATAGCCAGCTGGAGGCATGGCCAGAGCCTGAGGAGGAACTCCACTGAAATAGGCTGGAAGTCCTAGGGCCAAACTTGGTCCATAGCTCAGGGGATGGCGGTGGTAGGGGGATAGGGAACTGGCAGCTGATTGGGCTCCGTAGTAGGCTGGTGAAACGCTGCCCGTCGAGTCCTGCTCAAAGTCCTGGCGCTGACGCTTCGCCTGCGGGGAGTCACAGCTGCTCACACTGGACCCATCGTCCTCCGACTCCAGACTGGAGTTTCCACTGCTGTTCAGCTTCCTTTTGCAGCGGGACTGACCCGTTTCGCGGAAACCCTTGGCGAAGGGATTGTTGTCGATCTTTAGCTTGGTTATGCGATCATTCTGTAAGGATAAGACAATTTTAAAATTAATGTGGGGAACTAAATTGTATTGCCACAGTAAACTGTGATATTATATTTTGGTAATAAATATTATATTTTTATATTGATAATAAAATTGCATTTTTAAATTATTAAAGACTTTACTCAATTAACAGTAAATAACTTCATAGTTAAAATGTATGGCTTTTTACAAAATGTTTGAAAAGTTTTACCCAAAAGACAAAAATCGAATATAAATCTATTAATAAAAGTGGAAAACGATCTATGTTTTAACTGTCTGACAGAAATTTGAGACATGAGGCGTCAGTAAGTAGCCGTCGGCTGGGAAGCACTTGAAAAGTTTGTCTCCGATCCTCGTTAGGATCATCTCAAGTGGCTGGCGTGGCGACAAATTTGGAAATGCCTCAATTAGCCGACGACCCCCGCAGAGCCATTGTCGCGTCAAAAGTGCTCAATGAGGACGAGGAGGATGTTTTCATATTGCTAAACCCACCTGATAGGCTGTGACAGCTACGAACTCCGTCTCCGGGAACACGAACGCCTGCTGAGGAGCCCAGGGAAGTTGGGTGAGCTCGCTGCTTCGGATAATGTGCAGGCGTGGCTGGTACTTATGCATGCTGGCCAGAACGATCTGAAGGAAATAACGATGCGGATGAGTAACCCATCTAGTGGAATGGGGGAGATTTCCAAAACTTACATGTCCGCTGCTGTCCAGCGTGTTGTTGGTTAGCTTCACCTTGTTGAAAAGCAGAGCCTGCGACTGCCAATGGGCACCGGTGGCCGGACTATCCGGATGCAGATACATGCGCTGGGGGCTCTGGGGCTCGGCTCCGCCGGCCGGAACCCACTGGGATCCGGAGAACTTGTAGCGGCAGTCGCCGATGGGTACCATCTCCAGCAGGACGCAGTAGCTGGCCTCCTCCTCCAGTCCACTGAGGGAAACGCGCATCGAGGGGAACATGCGTCTGCAAAGGAGAAGCAAAGAATAGGACTTGATTAAGTGGCCTGCCACGAACTGCATATAAATCAGAGAGGGGAAGGGTATCGCAAAAGGAGGCGTCGCCCGGGCATCTATTCTATTTCACTGTACTTCGCCTTTGATTTGTGGCCCCGGCTAACAAGTGTGTAATTATGGACCAAAAAGCGGGCAGCGGGGAGTCTGCGCAAAGCATCGTAGCGTTGCGCATCGCATCCATTTAAAACGTAACGCAAACAGATCTCGCCAGCCCAAAACAATGTGCCACCGGCACATGATTAATTGTGCAGCAAATCGGTGGACCGCTGCTTGCATGGCGGAGAACTGAAGGGGCAGTGGAGCGGGGCAGTGGAGTGGGGCGATCTGGCGCCAAGCAATTAGACAAAATCTGGGAGTCGCCCTAACGGCTTCCAAGCGTCGAATGCATGTCTAATGAGCCGAGAAAGTGACTGTGATCGCCGATTAAGCCACACAGAAAACAATACGAAATTTAATTTGAAAAAAAAGGATGAATAAGGCAATATAATATAAAAATCATGCCAAATTTGGATCAACCAATGTGAGTAATTTAGGAAATTTACAAAATATATTTACCCATTATATGTACTGAACATTTAGGTTATTTTAAATGCACCAATGATCTGTTTTTGGAATGGAACATGACTTGTTAAACTGACTTGACTTGGCCCTAAAAGTTTTCAATTTCTTCCCGTGTACGTTTGTAACTTAAACTTCGAGTTCAGCTCATAATTATGTAAATTTGTCTCGGCTCCCGCTCGGTAGTCGCTGTGCGATAGTTTGATGTTCCTTTATCTGAGATACCTTAGGGTCTTTTTTTTTGCTCCAGAGAAGGGTCAGGGCTGGGCATTGTGGGCAAAGTGTGAAAAGCGCAGGTAGATCGGACCAAACCAAACCAAGCCAAACTAAACCCGATTGTCAACGCCGAAACCGAAAGAAGAAAGATTTTTATGAGCGGACCGGCGCCAGGGCGGCGTCTTCCTCTTGTCTTCTCCTCCGCCGGCTATCCGGCTATTCGTCTACACTGCACTTGTTGTCACTCGGAGCGAGAGCTCCTGCTGCGTTTTGAATTATGGCCAGGCGCCACATTAGGCCCGGGAAATCGAAAAACAAGGGACTACAAATAGGAAACTGGCCCTGGGACAGGAGCAAATATTAACATAGGCCGTGCGACGCACTTGACTCTTGGAAAAGTCGGGCTATTTGCATAGGATAATGGGTTCGCGGGAAACTTACCGGCCGCTCTTTGTGATGATCATCTCGGTGCCGATTTTATGGAACTGTTGCCACAGATCGTTGTTCTCCAACTTGGCCTCCACGCCAGGAAGGGTGGGCCGGCTGGGCAGCATCATTTGTGGCTGCTGGTGGTGGGGCATATTGAAAGGCAGCATCGACGGGAAGGGGTCTGGAAGAAGCGGTTTGGTTAGTTCATTAGTTTGGCATGGGCTCGGGATGGTCGCCGAAAAGCATATTTCTAGGCTATATCGCTTAATTTCGATGGCTGTCCACTGATTTCATTGTAATTAAATATCTAATTCTGAACTTCAGGTTACGCCAATGGTGATAGAACATTGCAAAACGAAAGAAAATGTCCAAAATAAAACTTTTACTCACTAACACCTTAAAGTTATTCAGTTTAAGAGAAAATTGTAAAAAAAAACCGAAGATTAAAATAGGTGAAGAGTTTGATATGTTTTTGTGGAAATATTTAAAAATGTTTGAAATGTTAAAGTCACATTCATTTTAATGATACATTTAAAAGTCCTTTTATAATTTAACCCTATCCTCTAACCTTACGATTGTACGTTGTAATACAAAAGGTTAAACAGTGCAATTTTGTAACCTCTTCCGCACTGTCTAATTTATAGATTTAAAAAATCACATTGCCATTTGCCGACGGCACTTGACCTTATAGAGAAACCCACCTGGAATTCGCTGCATGATCTGCTGGCGGTAGATCTCGTGGGCCAGCTGCTGCTGCATCCGCATATCCATTAGTTCTTGCATGGAAAGCATTTTGAATCACTTGCACTTGGTAAAAATGTCTGGGTTCTGATAATATCTGGTTCTGGGTACTGGTACTGGTTATTCTTCTTCACTTCACTCGCTCGTAACTGAAGATGCGCTCTGAGGTTCTTTCACGCTCGACGTTTCGCAACGAACTGATCTCGAGCTGCTCCGCTCGAGTGCTAGCTCGCTTTGGGTCGCAGCCAGTTTTTCCCGATCTTCGGCAGCGGCTACCTGCTGTAGGGAAAACCGGTTCTCCGGGGGAATCGCATGTGATTGGCCGACTGGTTACGCCTACGCTATGTGGCACTACTATGGTCATCCCACTCTGGCGGAGATCGGCGGATCGCAGAGGGCGCCATTTTGTGTGCAGGGAGCGGGAAAACGAGCTGCGTGCAGCCGAGTGGCGAAGTTAACGCTTAGCCCTGTTGATTTTCATCAGCCGCAGTGTTTTTCTGCGCCACTGCCTCCTAGCATTTATTCCCTGTCTCCCTCTCGATCACTGTCAGCTAGGTTACTTGGATATATACGTGGATGTGGATGTGGATGTGGCTGTGGATGTGGATGTGGATATGGCGTTGATTGTAATTCAGAAGTGAGATTTTCCACAGCGCGCCTGTCTGCTGCCTTCAGCTGCTGCCTTTCTGTTTTTTTTTTGTTTTGTATCTTCTTGTGTGTGTGTTTGTTTTTTTTTTTTTTTTTTTTTTTTTGGCGCTGTCGGAAAATGTCCGTTGCCATTTCCATTGCAGCCGTCTTCCGTTTGGGCCTGCCTCTCCTTCTCTAACCTTCCCCCGTGTAATTAGCTGGGTTCCCTATCTTCGACATTGTCTGGCGTTTCTTGGGTATTTATGTACTTTGCTCCAGACAGGTGAAACATAAATTTTGTTGGCTTTGTTAATTGCCCGTTTTGGAATTTCGATATGCCCTCGCTATTGATTTGCCAGTCGATGCGTTGGGCTACCCAAAACGAAAAAAATTAAAAAGAAAAACCAAAAAATGCATATATGTATGTAGTATTTGGGACTGGCTTGAGGGCCTATTGATTACTGGAAATTGCTATCTAAAGTGCTTGGGGTTGGAGGTGCAAGTAGATTAAAATGCACATTCCACAGAAAGTATTTTAATTGTCATTTAATGAGCTATTGATCATTGCAAAGCATCGGAATGAATCACACTTGTTCGTAGTGTTAATGATTGTCTGACACAAATTAAGGAAACATATTTAAAATAACTGGAATAACTTAAGAGATTAGTATTTAATGCCTTTTGTTAAAAATTAATATAAAAACGAGCTTTTTGATCACTTAACTAATAAAAAGAAATTAATATTGATTCTAACTTAACAAAAATGTTGCTTTAAAATAATAAACTACAATAAAACTATTTATATATTTAGTTTCCACGTCCTAAAATTCTGACGAATATATATTTTTTAAAAATACCTTGTTTGTTAAGAAAGAAAATTTAGGTTAGACTAACATATTAAGATTCACAAAAGAAAAGATTGCTAAAATGCGTTTAAACTGGGAAGATGATGATAATATTAGATGATATCCCAAGTATGTACTTTGTTTTTAGCTTTGTTTTACAAGGAATTTATGATCTATATAAAATAAATTAATGTGTTTTGAAGAGTTAACTTAAGCAATCGATTCTTATTTTTTGCAACGCCATTGATCTTGAAACCAATTCGAGTCTCAAGTGCATCACAACAGACCTGATCTGGCAAATAAAAAAAGGGCAATTTAAATCCCAAGGCAGACATGATGTGATGCGTTTATCCTTGACTCGTCGCCAGCAAATAATTTCAGGCTTGGGTTCATCTCCAGTCGACTAGAAAGCAAGTCAGTGTCGAGAAGCCTCCATTAAATTAGCATTTGGCTGTCGTTTGGCACGCTCTTCAAAATTAGACCTAATTCCATTCCCATGTCCCATTCGGCCTCCGGATCCGGACGAGACGGCATATCTCCGGTGCAGGGCCAGCTGACGATGATGACTGCTCGTTGCGTCCGGCGCCAGAGCATCGTAAAATATTTATACAAATATCGGAGCAGTTAGAACAAAAGATTGCGATTTGAAATTGTAACGCTTCACGCCTGCCGAAAGACCGACAAAGAGATGTCACACAAAAAAAGGCAGTGGCAGCTGCGGATGCAAGTAGATCTGTGCCCAGATATAGTACTGACCCTCGGATAACTCAGGTGTAATTGCGTCATGCGGGTGCAACAAAAACTAGATCGAAGTAAACCCAACCGGGACAGAGACACATAAGTTGACGCGACATCGGCACAGCCCACAAAGTGACCACGCTCCCGGGATTCTGGGACTCGATTCCCAGGACAGGTCGTTTTGCGGTCTGTCTCCGCTGGGTGTGAAGTGTCCCGTGGGCGGCATCCTCAGTTGCTTGAGATGTCGCGTACCTGAGTAACAGTCTGCTGTCGCCAATTGAAGTAATAATTTTCTATTGTCCCCTCGACGCGCCTTCCATAAACCAAGGCACTGGCACTTCAGGGCACAGAGACGCGACAAGTGCAAGTGCTCTTCCCTCAAGTAGCCGTTGGCGCCAGACGATCATCATCCCGGTTAGAGGACATCTTTGTGAGTCGGCTATCTGCCGCCTTGGATCTGCAGATGCCGCACGGTAGCCGGTCAAACTGCCAGAGGTTGACAACGACATATGTATGTACGATATGTATGTTCGGGCTGGATAAGATTGGACCAAAGCAGATTAGCTAGCCCTCGGGGGAGTGGGTATCGGTATCGGTCATACGGGCGGATGGCTAGACGGAAGCTCCCGGCCAACCCACACAGGGAGCAGCGGTAATTAACATATAACCCGCCGATCAGGCAGCCATATTCATATATTAAAAGACCATCAGCTTATAAATGCCCATAATCATTGAGACAGGTTACATTTCCCAGTTTCGAAAGATCAATAAATCATGGACAACCCTAATTAAGCAGCTCTCGTAGCCACGAAAACCCGTGTGTCACCTGCCTGGAAGATCTGGTGATCTGGAGATCTGGAGATCGTGAGCTGCCAAAACTACAAGTTACACATAATTTATCCGGCACAAAGGCTGACCAGCGGACCAGCGGACCAGCGGAGAGGCAAATGTCATAAAATAATATAAATGATATAAACGACACTGTCTGCGCCTAATAAGCCAGGGCGTGGCCCAAGACCAAGACCAATCCCAATCCCAAAACCAATTCCAATCCCAATGCAGGGTACAAATCCTGGGAAAACGGTATGGGCATAAAGATGCAAACTACACGATAAAGTTAGCTGGTTTAGGCGCCTGCAACTAAATGCTAAACGAGTTAACCCGCTGATAGAGATCTTCTTCGTGTTTTCCCCCATCTTTCTGGGTTTCTGGGTTTTTGGTAGATACTAAGCCGATGCTCAAGGTGCGTCGAGAGCAAAGCATCATTAAGGCAGGAGGAAGGCAGTGGTAACTCCGGGACTTCAGACCACAAGCAACGATGATTTAATTTTCCAACACGCTTTCTACCACGCCAGCATCTGAGATTTTTTGATTTTCGATTTTTAGAGTTTGTTTTTTTTTTTGGGTTTTCAGTATTTCTGGCATGATCGATGGCCTGTCGTTGAGATGATCACTTTCCGTGGCTGCCTAGCGGCTACTAGTTGAGATACTTAACGACGAACCGAAAGGGCGCCATCGGGCCTTATAATTTGTTAAGATGTTTGGGCGATCGTCGATCGATCGATCGATGGATCGATGCCTGGATTGATTGACCTTTCTCTGCATAATATTTATGTATATTTCTCACGACGAGAGCTGGATGCCTAGATGCATTGTGGCGCCCGCAAGAGCTGGGGACAGGCTTTTTGGCTACTGATCATCGGGAGTGGAGACGCCATCATCGCCTTATCAGCGGCTCGGCATCTGGGAACATTGAGCGGCTACTTAAGATACAGCTTCCCGCCGGAGGAGGTATCAGTTCTAGCATATCGATTACCAGCCAGCCGAGGGCAATTGACCTGAACCCAACAGAAGTCGAACGCTGTAATCGATACGATCGGCAATCGTTGATCTTTTGGCAGGCAGAAATTTAGCAACTTTGTCGGCATTTGCAGCCTGTGATCACTAAACTATGATCTATGATTGCCCCCAGGTCGTTTGCCATTAGCCATTTGCCATTTGCCAAATACCCTGCACCCTCCAGTTATATAGATATATATATATATGTGTACATCCACCCATTTCTATCAACTCATCTCGCATGCCGCGCACAGCTCACTCGCACTAATTAAAATAAATTCTGTCAGACATTCTCGTTTAATTTTTTCGCGCACCTTGTTTGTTTTTCTCATTTTTTTTTTTGTTTTGGTTTTTGGCCAGACCCATGGAGACCCAAAGTTGAAGCGAGAAAACAAGCAATAAAAACGTCAGCCAATACGTCAAAGGCAGTCTGACAGACTGACTGCGCTCGCAACTTAAAATGCACATTATTAATTAGTTGTTATAATTGCATTTAAAAATCCATTAATATTTATAGAATTCATAATAAATAATGAGGCACGGTCTGGGCCTCGAACTGGAGCTCTCGAGCTCCCGAGACGGCGACATCGACGCCTCCAAATGCCAAAACGATCTTGTGGCCAGGACGGACTGGGGCCAAGTTTGGCAATTTATGCGACCGACTTCGTGATGTGTGTGGCATATTTGAAACCCAGTCACAAGTTGTCTTTTGACAAATTCTCCAAGAATGTGTCTGCAAGATTTTAAGAGATTGCCCTGGGGCATATCAGCAGGGTAATGCGCTTTGTTTTGGGTCAGAAAAGGGTATCAATATACATACAATTTCCTAATGACTTACTCAAGTTCCTTTCTAACTTGATATAGAACAGACAGTAAATAAAAGGTAATTTGTTTTAGTAAAAATATAACAACAAGCTTTTATAAACATCTACGAAGGAAAGATACATTTTTGAATCGTAGTTGCAATAACGTTGTCATGTCATAAGTAATATTAATATTAATTAATATAAAATTAAATAGAAACCAACTCCATTAAAATTTGATTTTTTTTTAATTTTTGACAGACTGTATTAAAACATTCTACCTAAATAAATATCAAAATACACTTATTATTAGAAAATTATTGTCTATCGTAAAGGTCAGGACCAACCAGCCCAAGTTTTA